CATACATACATACATACATACATACATACATACATACATACATAAATGGTATGTTTGTGTATATAAATACTATATCAGGTTTGTAATGAATGAACTGTGTTGCGACAAATGGCTGCTTTCTCCATCTAGCAGCGGGATTTTTTTTTCAGTTGTCCAGCATTAACCAGTATTGATCTTGTCATTGTTCTGTAACCCGCTCAGAGAACTCCAGTGAAAGCAGACTTAGAGTCATTCCCATTACTGCCGCTAAAAGGGTCAGCCAACATGTTCACAATGCTGCCAATCTCCAATCTCCTCTTGGCAAATATACCCCAAACTTTACTGTGACTCCTGACAAGAAACCAATGAGTCTTTTGTGAGAAAAAAGTAGAGATGAAGATGAAGATACAGGCAGCCAAAGAAAGGCTTGTTGAGATGAGGGCAGTAAGGGAAAAGTTAGCTGGGTAGCTTCTTTTTCACATGTTTGTTTGGAAGTCTTTTTTCTCCCAACTGGGAGTAAAACTTCCAATGTACACACTTTTTTAATCCACAAATGATTGCATGTCAGGAAATGATATCAAATTTACAAATGTGGAAAATTTTCCGGAATAATGCCTAAATAATAAAAAGAATTAATCTGGGGAAGGTTAATGGTAAAAATATTTACCAGTTTGTACATGAGGAAATTCACTGTTAGGTTTCTCCAATTATATTATCGTTTTGATCTGAATCAACTGGCAAAAATATGATTAAATGCTGAGGGAAACCTCTAATAGCTTCTTCTTTCACCAAATGTTGATTATTTAGATAATGCACCTTACTTGCACCTATTATTTCCTTCATGGTTAACTTTGTTAAAGCTTATGTTTTGCAAATGGTCTGTTTTGAGATGTAAGAAATCCACTGCATCTGTCTACAGTGATGTCGCTGAAGATTTATCCTCCATGCATCGTTCATTCATCCTTGATCCACGATTGTGCAGGATCTAACTTTTCATCTTCCCCCAACAGATTGGTTCATTCTTCATGATCAACCTGTGCCTGGTGGTCATTGCCACCCAGTTCTCCGAGACCAAGCAGCGGGAGCACCAGCTGATGCAGGAGCAGAGGGCTCAGTGCCTGTCCTCCTCCACCTTGGCCAGTATGGCCGAGCCAGGAGACTGCTATGAGGAGATCTTCCAGCTGGTCTGCCATGTCCTCCGCAAAGCAAAGAGGAGATCGGCAGCTCTGTACTACACGCTGAGGGGCAAGCCCCCGCCGGCTGGTGGAGGCAGGGGAAACAGGAGAGGTGGAGGGAATGTGAACGGGGACCGCCATCACTCTAGACACCCGAGATGTGAGTAAAAAGAACTAAGCAAATAGCACGAGCTATTTATGTAACTGTTGGCAGTTATGTGCCAGACATGTTGGATAATTATTCAATAGTTGGAACTAGATTTTTTTTTTATGTATTTGCTTTTGGAATTCTCTTAAACCAAGAAGTGAAAAAAAGGGTTTATTAAGCTAAACAAACATAAAAGCAAAAACTTTAAACTATCTATTCAAATTGCTTTGCTCTAAACAAAAAAACTTCACATGGGAAAAAAAAGAAACAATGAAAACTGCTTTCACTCTTTTCGCTTTATCCATGTAGCACCCAAATGTCCACACCACAGGAAACAGGAGAACAGCTCCCAGGCACCAGACAACTCCATCAGTGTTTCTGTCCCCCAGAATCCTGAAGACTGCCCGATATGTTCATTGTCAGTTAAAGAAGGTGCAAAGGCAGTGGGCGATTCGGCTAATGGCGAAGAAAATGAGGAGGACACTGTGAAAGACACAGACAAAGAGGAGAACCCCTTAGAGGAGAGGGGAGATGAGGAGATGAAGAGAAAGAGGACGTGTTTTGGGCGTTGCAAAGACCTTTGGACCGGCATGAGGAGGAAGCTTTGGGGCATTGTAGAGAGCAAGTACTTCAGCAGGGGCATTATGATTGCTATTCTCATTAACACCATCAGCATGGGCATTGAACATCATAACCAGGTAAGATGCCAGCAGCAGCTGGAATGACTTTACATCTGGATTTGTGGGATGGTTTGTGAGCACAGTGTCAGGTATTTACCACGTAGCTAATTGTCATAATGTTGATTGCAGCTATTTCTAAACTACTGGAGCAATACTTTGATGTCATTGATAAGATACACCAACAGCAAATATTTTCTTCTTAGATAGAGGCAGACTGGGTTAACAGCATGTTCCCGAAGATTCAGATGGAAGTGTCATTACAGCACAAAATTCTGCTTTGTAGTATTTACTGTAGGAGATATCTACATGTATGTGGTCAATGTGTTTTTCAAAACGGATGTTTGCGATTGGTTAGTAACTTCGTCCTGCATCACTCTTGTTATTCCCTGTTTGTGGTCCACTTCACCATGAAAGTGCAACAGCAAGTTTATTTTAGAAATATTAACAAATCATATTATATAAGTATATGCGAGATAGAGTTTCTTTTGGTTTAATCTTACCAGGCTCTGCCTTTTGTTCACCACATCATCAATGTCTATTTGTACTCTTTTTCCAAAAACTGTGAGCCAGCAAAGTGATTGTTTTGGAACATTGCCTTCAATTATTTATACTGGCATCCAGTACTATTGTGTCAACAGAATGCGTTGGCTTAATCATTTTGCACTCCTCTCTCACTCCAACAAATCAACAGAAAGAAATATTATAATGGCAGATGACATTCAGACAGATGAGTGTGGGAGTGGAGCACCAGTGTGCACAGTTTCCTGACAAAGGTACAAACATTTAGCCTAGAAGCAGACAAAACCGAGCTGGCTTTTAACATTGGCCAGGCTCCTCAGAAAGCCGACGTGGCAGGTGCCTGAGTGCGAGAATAGGAGATGCTTGCCAAGAAACGCACACACATACACACACACACACACAAATAATTTGTCCAGTATATGAGTGCAAATAAAATATATTTCATTCTTCTGTACGTGCGCTGATCGAAACGCAGGCGTGGACTCACATGCAGTTACATAACAGCTCCTTCCTCTTTCCTTCAGTCTCCCTTCTCAGATCATACCATTCTTTCCTCTCATGTTTCTGTTTCCTTCCCTTCTTAATTTATTTCTGCCTATTTTCCCTCATTTTCTCCATAAATTTCCCTGTGCACCTTTGCTATACACTTTCCACCACTCGTCCCTTTGTTCCTTGTTATCTTCCTTCCTCCCATCTTTACTCCCCAAGTGTCTCATCTACTCTCTGCCTCTTTTTTACCTCCCTTGGTTTCACCCTCCACCTCCCCATTGCTCCCCTTCCCATCCACCCACGCACTCTCTGACAGCGTAGTTGCTTTCTCTCATCTCTGAAGACTCTAAAAATAAATGAGGGGTTGTTGGTGGTGAGGTGGTGTTTGGGGGGGGTTAGGAAAAGCAACAGAGGAGGATGGGAGAGAGGGGAGTGGGATGCAAGGCAGACGGCAGTTACACAGCAGTTTTCCACTCAATTCCCCATGTGATTCTGTGAGTGAGCGATTGTGTGCAGTTCAAAGTAGGTATGTATGCCCAGACACACAATGGAATTTGCATGCACACAGTCACTTATGCTTTATTTGCATGTCCTCTGGGCTTTTCTCCCTCTGCCGCTTCCACAGGCTGACATAAAGGCATTGATGAAATTCTGTGATTTTCCAATGTGGGAGATGAGCCTTGCCTCATGCCTCAAGTTTCCTGTAACACCAGAACTTTGAAGCCCAGATATTTGTGAAATGCTGGGCTGTGATTACCACGTCATTCTTTTGTTGCAGTCTTATGCAGAATTATGAACATTTAGAGTATTTCCCTGGATAATTTGTGATTGTAAGATACATTTAGGTTGAAAGCAATGTTTAAACTCGACAACAACAATGTTTTCTAATAAACCCACGTCACACGTACGAAAATATTGGTTGAAAATATTGATCACTTAGTGCACTTGGCAGAATATAACAAATATATATATATATATATATATA